GAGAGAGAGAGAGAGAGAGAGAGAGAGAGAGAGAGAGAGAGAGAGAGAGAGAGAGAGAGAGAGAGAGGCAACAGGCCCAGACGCAACGCACCCCCATTTTTGGCACCGTCTTCAACAGACCACAACACACCCGTGTTCTAGCTGTACCTCAGCGGAAAGATGGCATGTATACATTCATTACTGTTACATGATGAGCCTGCACACCGGCCCCATTTCAGTGGCCCAACAGTTGCTGAGGGGCCCCCAGGCCACGTGCCCTTCAGTCGCGCACCCTGGAGGCCCACGGCGGCCTTTAGTCCGCAGGTATCGATTTCAGACAGCAGTGCTCATCTATTTATATATTTGTTTATTTATTTATTTGTTTATTTATTTTTCTGTTCAGAACTTCAGACGTCGTTTCGGACTTGCAGTCCCCCAGGCCACGCCTTGGACTGGGTACACCATGAGGCAGGGCCGTTTGAGGCCAGGTGCCCTGCTGCATCAGTGTTATGAACCTGGTTGTTTGTTGTCAGAAGACCAACACTCGCTCACATAGACTTCCAGCTATGCCCATACATACACAGAAGGAGGGGGAGAGGATGGGAGTATCACACCGCACAGGGGGAGATAAACACAGCGGAAGACTTGTCCATGCGATATGACAGAAAACACTGAAAGTGCAATTCGCTCCACAGAATCCTCGCAACCAGTCACAAAGGAAAGCCGAGGAAGAAAAGTTAAAAGCAGTGGAAGAAGAAGAAGAAGAGAAGAAGGTGGAAGAAGAAGTGCCCTTAATCAGAAGATAATCAGAAGAAGTATCAGAGGAGAGTCGAGTGGCACAAAGAAGGAAGGGAACTTGTGGTTAGAAAAGAAAGTGTATGAGTGGGTTGCCAATCTGTCCCTAGGAGAGGAGGAGGTGGCGATGTTATATGTCCCCAAGGAAGAACAGGAGGCGGTTATAAGGGAATTGGAAGCAGAAGAAGACCCCCTAAAACGTCAGACAATCGAAGAAGAGAAGAAGTTAGAATGGAAGTTGTGTCTGACCAGAGAGAAGAAGAAGAGGATGGAGGAGGCAAGTAAGGCGGCGAAAGAACTGGAGTTGAAACAGCAAAGGGTGCAGATGGAAGCACAGGCGGATTTGCAAGGAAAAATGGAAGTGATGGCGAGGAATATAGAACGCTTGGCACAGGCTCAGGAGGAGAAATACCAATTTGGGAGGAGTCCGGACCTAGCCCTACGATCAATACGATTGGGGTTTAGAGAATTTGCACGCAAAATGATGATGCACGTGGGCTCAGAAGTGCAGGCGAGGCTAGAGAGCACAGAGCGATTCTGCACAGGTGCCATAGAAGACGCAAAGCTAGCCGCACCAAGAGAGAAGGAAGCTCGTCCCCGTAGAGAGCCTGTTAAGGTGAAGTTCCCTGATTCCTACAGTGGGAAGGAGGAGAACTTCGATAATTGGGAGGCAAATGTGAACTCCTATGTGCACTTGCAAAAGATATCTCCTGACGAGCATGTCCTCATAGCCTTCCATGCTCTCAAGGACAAAGAAGCAAGCTTCGCCAGGTCGCTTTGTTGTGTTGCTAAGTGCGATAACGATATGGTCGCCTATTCTGCAATCACTCCTCTCGGTGAGTTTTGCAAATTATTGCGTGAAAGGTTTGCAGATATCACACGAAGCGTTAGAGCCTCTGACAAACTGCAGACCATTCATTCCCGCCAATGGAGGAGTGTCAGGGCACTCAAGGGTGTTATGGATGAGTTGGTCGCCGTTCCTGATCATGGGGTCACTGAGACCCAATTAGTCAACCTATTCTATCGTGCCATGCCTGAGCCTTTGCGCGGGCACTTCTTTGAGAAGAGCCAGGAGTCTACCATGACCTACGATACTCTGAGTAGGGAAGTGGTAGCGTTTGAACCGCGGTCCATGCCAGTTTCCACCTTCTGGCATAAGGACCTTGATAAGGGCAAGAAGTGGAAAGGTCGTACCATCTCGGGTCAGGTCAAGGGCAAGGATGACATGATCCTTTAGATAAGGGTGGTATGGAACAGGTCCCCTATGATCAGATAGAGTGGGGCCTAGAGGTAGAGGATAGTGGCAATAGTCAGGGGAGGACTTACGCTACTGTCGCGGCTGGATGGAGGTCGCAGAGAAGAGGAGGAGGTCAGGGCCAAGGGGGTCAGGCTTCCAGTGGTCGAGGACAAGGCGATCAGGGGGTTGGTGGTAGAGGAGGCCGCCAAGCGGGAGGTAGGGGTCAAGGTCCGCCGCAAAACCGCTCTCGTTTCAATCAATCACCTAGGAGGGGTGGATGGCACCCTGATCTGCCACAAGGCAGGCCTTGGGAAGATTTGGGCTTGGAACAAACAATATGGCAGAGGCGTATAGACCAGGATTAGTGCGTCTATTGCGGTGATCCAGGCCACATCATAAAATACTGCCCCAAATACAAAGAAGCCCGGTTTGCTTCACAGGCAGCAAAAGGCAACCGTCGGTGGGGGTTGCAACTGCCCCTATCCCTAGACCATGTGGAGAAGAGTGCGCGCACCACATAGATACTCTCGAACCACATGTGTCTATGGCAGAGGTTGTTGGTCAGTGCCTACATAGCTGTCCAGAGACTGTTGTGTTAGAGTCTCTTTAGGCACTTCCCTCACAGGCGCGGCAGAGGAATTGAAGGAGAGAATGCTTGTCTGCGCCAAAATGAAGAAAGATGCGAAAGGACAACTAGTTTTAGTAGATGTAGAGGTCTTTAGAGGACGAGTAGGGGCCTTGATAGATAGCGGGGCCACTCATAGTTATATTAGCAGGAAAGCGTTGCAGAAGCTAAAGTTAAATTTGAAAGTCCAAAAGTTAGAAGACCCCGTAGTCAGTATCCTCGCAGAGGGAGTCCAGGCGTACTTTCGCCTAGAGAAGGATGGGAAGGTAGAGAGAGTTCTCAATTCCCTGACTTTCCTCATGAAGGATAGTCTTCCCTTCTACATGGTCCTAGGAATGAACCGAGGAGAGGCAGCAGGGGCTACACTCCACTTGAAAGAGCACGAGTGTAGACTCTCTTTTTATCAGGCGAAGTCAAAACGGCTCGTCTGTTCCATGTGTCAGAAGTAGACAACTCTCTTGCACATTGTTGTCTCAGTGCTCCCGCGTTCGCGCAATTGGTGAAGAAGGAGCAGTTAGAAGTTTTTGTAGCATATGTTAGGCCTGTTACTGAGCCTAAGGAAGAGAAACCTATACAACCTGCTATTGCCAAGCTGTTGGAGGAGTATACAGACTTAGCCAAGCCACCTACAGGAGTAGTGCAGCGGCCTATCCAACATCGTATTGAAATAGAGCCTGGCAGTATGATTCCTAAGGGAGCTATCTACAGAATGTCCCCAAGGGAGCTAGAGGAGTTGCGCAAGCAGTTAAACGAGCTCCTCGAGAAGGGTTGGATTAGGCCCAGTTCATCTCCATTTGGAGCGCCTATTCGTTTTGTCCCCAAGAAGGAGGGAGAGCTTAGAATGTGTATCGACTATAGGGGTCTTAACGCCATCACAGTGAAGAATGCAAAACCGTTGCCCCGTATACGTGATCTGTTGGATCTGGTGCATCGCAACAAATATTTTTCAAAGATAGATTTGAAGTCCGGCTATCATCATATAGAGGTTCATCCTGATGATCAGTATAAAACAACATTCCCGACTAGATATGGTTACTACGAGTTTATAGTGATGCCTTTTGGACTAACCAATGCGCCAGGTACATTCCAACGTTGTATGAATAATCTGTTTAGGCCATGGTTAGATAAATTTGTGGTAGTATACCTAGATGATATTTTAGTTTTTAGTAAGACCCTCCAGGAGCATGAGGGTCATTTGAGGCGGGTCTTGGAGAAGCTAAGAGAAGCTAACTTCAAGATCAACGCAAAGAAGTGTGAGTGGGCCAAGATGCAAGTTTTATACTTGGGCCATGTCTTAGATGGAGTTGGTATAAAACCTGAGGACAGTAAGATAGCAACGATCAGAGATTGGCCAACGCCCCGCACACTGACTGAGTTACGGTCGTTTCTAGGCCTAGCAAATTACTATAGGAAGTTCGTGAGGAACTTTTCTACCAGCTGCACCCCTTCGCAGGTTGTTAAAAAGCAATTTGGGAGTGGGATAGAGATTGTACGTCGGCCCTGAGGAAGCTGAAGCGGGCCTTGATAGAGTATCCAGTCCTCAAGGTAGCCAATTCATCCTTGCCTTTTGTCGTCACCACTAACGCAAGTCAGTATGGTATAGGTGTTGTTTTACAGCAAGATGATGGCAATGGATATGGACCCGTAGAGTTCATGTCTGCTAGGATGCCTTTGGAGAAGGTAGCGACATTTACCTACGAGAGGGAACTCTACGCTCTCAGGCAAGCATTAGATCACTGTAAGCATTACTTGCTTGGGAGGCACTTCAAAAGTTTATTCGGACCACGAGACGCTAAGGTGGTTGAAGACTCAGGCCAAGATGACACCTAAGCTTACTAGGTGGGCCGCAGAGATAGATCAGTTTGACTTTGAGCTCAAGCCGGTTAAAGGGAAGTAAAATGCAGATGCGGACGCTCTAAGTAGGAGGGCTAATTACTTTGGGGCGATAGTTCACTATCTAGATATAAGACGAGACCTGCAACAGAAAGTTAAAGAAGCCTATGCGCAGGATCCTATTTATAGTGATCTCCTCAAGAGAGTTAAGGAATCTACAGAGTCTGAGCCAGACTACCGCACTACAGATGGTTTACTATTCGAGAAGACTAATGTAGATGACCGCTTGTGCATTCCCAATAGTGAAGAGATCCGTAGCTTGATTTTAGGGGAATGCCATGATACAGATGGACACTTCGTTTGGCAAAAGACATTGGCTAACCTTGTTCGCATATATATGTGGCCTGGCATGAAGGCCGACTGCATAAAGTATGTACGCAGTTGTAAGGTATGCCAACGGAATAAGACCACTACGCGAGCCCCTTTTGGTGTTCTCGGACCCTTACCATTCCCACACGACCCGGAGATTCTGTGTCCATTGACTTTATGGATGTCGGGGTCAAGAGTAGGCATGGCAAGAGCCAAGTCATGGTTATAGTTGATAGATTTAGTAAATATGCAGTCTTTGTCCCTTCATCCTTAGAGGCACGTACAGACTTAGTTATAGATAAGTTCTTTGATAATTGGGTCAGTGAGCATGGTCTCCCATTGTCAGTAGTTAGTGGCAGAGATACCACATTCACTAGTCAGAACTAGCAGGAGTTGATGAGAGTCTATGGCTCTAGGTTGTTGATGTCATCTAGCCGTCATCCTGAGACCAACGGTCAGACTGAACAAATGAACAAAATCCTGCAACAAGTTCTCAGAATGTATATGAGACCCGATCAGCTTAATTGGGTCAAGTCCAAAGAGTTTGCTCCTGAGGAGAACATCTCGTAAAAGTTACAGCTTGCATACCGAGGATCATGGCCAGTCTTAGAAGTCAAGGGCGGAGAGGATGGACCGTCCTACACAGTTGAAATTCCAGTGCACCTCTACACCTACTCGGTGTTTCATGCGTCAAAGTTGTTGCCTTGTATCACAAGTCAATAGTTTCCATGACGGAGGTTCATGATCCCTCCGGGCATGGATAGGAGGTACGACATTGACGGCATCGTAGGTGAAGACGTCTTCAGGACAGGAGGTAGGGGTCGTCAACAGAAACAATATAAGGTCAGGTTCGCTTTTCAGGAACCAGAGGACGACCGCTGGTTTACACGAACAGAACTGCTTGAGACCGCTCCCGATGTAGTTCGCGCCTATGAGAGAGAGAAGAAAAATAAAGGTCCAGCCTTGGACTGAAGTATTCTCGGAGGACGTCGAATTTAGGCCGGCGGGAGTAAGACGGTTTTCACCTTTTGCAGACACAGATGCGGATCCCAGGGCTCGATCCCCAGACCTCACCTTACCTTACCTTACTTGTGTACAGTATCAAGTCGACCCTGTAAGTCTTGAACCCGTGACCTGTGTTAGTGGTTGGCAGTTGTCTGTCGTAGGTCTGAGTAGTTGTCGGGTCTTGAACCTTAAGACCTGTCGAAGTAGTGGTCACACCTGCATAGGGGTCATGGTTGTTGAAGTTCTGAAAGGTCAAGGTCGTAGCTTCTACAGTCCTGAAAGGTCAAGGTCGTAGCTGCTACAGTCCTGAACGGCCAAGTCCGCAAACTTCCGGAAGGTTCGGAAGTGGCCTTTCAAGTTTCTTCTCACATTATACACAGCAGATCAGAGGCAAGTGGGCAAGTGGTGAGTCCAACTTCGCTTAGTCAGTGGTACCCAGTCCCAGTCTTACTTGGTACAGTCACCAAGTACCATGAGGGACGGTGTGCACCATGGGCCCGGTGGAAAAGGACAGACCAACGACCTACAGAAGTATAAATCAAGAGGCAGCGTCCAGCCATTCATTCATTCCTGCGAGAGCCATGCGGAAGCGCTGCCCGAGCGTCTTGTGCAAGGTGGTTTGCAGATGCCCGAGGTCGAAGTGGGCTTGAACAAGTCAGTGCGCCATAGTTAGTAGCAGCCGGCGGCCATAGCCGCCATAGCTAGCGTTAGGTGTTAGCGTGTGTGTACGCGTGTGTGTGATACAGTGAACGCGTGTGGGGTATTCAGGATGATCCAGAGTTGAGTGTGTGCGAACAATGATGTTGGACACAGCGACGAGAGTTGGGATGTACAGGCACTGATGCGTCATAGCCTGTTGAAGCGAGCTGATGTGCCATAGCCTGTTGAAGCGAGTTTGTATCTGAACTGTGTTCTCAGTTTCCATATATCTGAGCTTTGAGTGGGCGCTTGGCGCCAGTGTGCTGTGCCATCTGTTGCATGCATGAAGTTGAAGAAGAAAGCGGGTTTGATTGCACGAGCAGCGACGGGCATAGATGCGATGGAATATCTCGAAGCAGCGAGTGCGGACTTTTTTTTTTTTTTTTTTTTTTTTTTTTTTTTGTGTGTTTGAAACCTCGCGGATATTCATTTTCTTTCTGTTCTTCGTTTGTCGTTTCATGGTTTTTCCGTTGTTTTTTTTTTGGCCAAGTTTTTTTTTTTTTTTTTTTTTTTTTTTTTTCCCATCATCACGCCGCGCTGATATTCATTTTCTTTTTGTTCTTCGTTTATCGTTTCGCGATTTTCACGTTGTCTCTTTCACGGCTGCACGTTTGTCATTTCCGTCTTTTATTTCTTTGGTGGCTTTTCGTCGTTTCCCGCCTTTTTCCCTTTGTGGCTTTTCGCTTTTCTTTCGTGGTTTGTCCGCTTTTTTTCTCTTTGGCAAAAGGCATCGGGATGGGTGGGTGGGTGGGTGGGTGCCTGCCTGCGCCCACCCACCCACGCACACCCACACACACAAATATTAAGATCATGAAG